TAGTTGTTGTGGAGGTTGTAGTGGTTGTCGTGATATCCGTAAAGAAAGCCATTGACGCCATTGTTTGGGAAGAAGCCGTTGTTGTAGTGGTCATGACTTGACTGCATTTTGGGATGTGTTGAGTGATCCATGTCTTGGGCGGCGATCACTGGTTCACGATATCTCATGTCATATGAGGTGTGCTTTTGTTCATAAAATACAATCCTTTTCTCTCTCATCAAAAACTGATGCTTTGTTTTTACAGTTTTGACAATATTTTGGTGCCTTTTGTTGAAGCGTTTGTTCACTTGATTTACTCAATCCACAGATATTTAATCACAATTTGTTTGGGCTTTCAATTGACACACAATTTAATTTCTAGTCTTTCATTACTGTTAATGTAATTCAATATACACTATACATGACTATATAGATGGGAGTGTAGAGTATAAGTAGTAGAGTTAATATTCATATGAATAGTATGTTATATCGACAGTAGACTGTACTCTAACTTATGATTGGATTAATGAATGAATTTGAATATTGAAAGTTTGATGCAATCACTCGACGATTATTGCACTGAATATCAAATGAAATGTGATTTTCAATTTCAAATCAATTTCAAACCACTTTTCAATGGCATTACTCGTGTGAATGCATTGCTTGTTATCAATGAAAATCTTACGGAAAAATTATTAAATCCTTTTAAAAAGTTTTTTCTTCGTATAAAATATGATAAAAATGATTGGTATTAATGATTGGCAATGAAATCCGTGTTAAAACATATTAGTGTGAAATAGATTAGAAATTTTGGTGACAATTATTTGATTGAAAAATGCATTCAAAACTTTTTTCATTAAATTTAAAGCAATTTTTGTGCAGATTTTTGTGACGCAATGATTAGCATGTATTGAATACGACCGGTATTTGTGTACTTTTTTATAACCATTAAAGCGTTGCGTTTATACAGTAATATCGGCACACATTCACTGCGGCCTCACTGTTGCACATGTCATGTCATATGCATATCACGTGTTATGAATACACTGTTTGTGTATTTTGTGATCACTTTTGACTCTTCACTAAACAAGTGGTGATCTTGTGATCAGATCTTTGGTATCGGTTGTACTGAAGAGTGATTAGTGTGTCAATCATCGGGAGGTGTGGTGTGAGTGGTGTCGGAGCCGATGACAAGACGTGTAGTGATATTATACGGGTCAGAGACGGGTCAGGCGGAGGCCATCTCCCATCAGATCTATGACCAGTGTTGGCATCAGTTGGAAGCGCTGATCGACAACTTGAACGTTAAGATCGATCGCTTCTGTTTGGACCAAACGGGAGACCACTTCACGCTCGAGTCGGAGGAAGCGGTCATTTTTGTGGTGTCGACCACAGGAGAGGGCGAACCGCCGGCCAATGCACTCAAGTTTTACCGAAAGTACCGAAAGCGAGCGCTCGACAGACAGTTGTTGTCCGCCGTGTCCTATACTTTGCTAGCATTGGGTGACACTAATTATGAGAGATTCGCTAACTTTGGCAAAGATTTAGGTCTTAATTCACGTTCAAATGCATTCATTTTTTCATTACAATTGATATACTTTTTCCTTTTCACTGAACCTTAACTACAAGTTCTTTGTGGCGGAAGTTTGTGTCCCGAAGTGTTTGCCGTATATTTAATTGTCGCTAATACAGTGTTTCCGCTATATTTAGAGTATTACTAACAATTCACTAACAATACGTACACTTTATTATTATACCCGTTATAGTGAACAAACTTATTGACCGATTCAGTGATTATTTCAGTGAATGGTATTATAGATAATAGACTTCTTTGACTCTTCATAATAACTTGTATTGACTTTGTATTGAAAGCATTGAAGAGATCGCGTGAATAGTTGTTTGTTAACCGTTTTGTCCTTCAGATAAACGACTGCAGGAGTTGTCGGCCAAACAATTCTACGAAACAGGTTTCGGCGACGACGCCGTCGGTCTTGAGTTAGGGGTCGAGCCCTGGATTGAGAATCTCTTCCCAGCGATTCTCCAACATTTTAAAGCCTATTCGGCGCTAAGCGTACCAATCGTTGACACGAAGACATTATCACCAATTCAATTACAAATGGCTGTCAAAGATAATTGCGGTGAATTGATGCACACAACGGATCAACGTTTGGCACTATTGGATCAGTTGACTCTACCGTTGATTTCGAGTAAATTCCAATCGTTTCGTTTGCAAATCCACGAAACACTTCCCGAAGAATGTGATGCAAATGAGTTTTACTTTCAAACACTTCCAGTTATGGATTCAAAGATATTTGATACAAATTTAGTTCACTTGAGACAATTGTCGGCCAATACTAGTGCCGACGACAACCCCATCACTACCGCCGACTGTAAGACCATAATTGAGGCCACAATAGAGGCCGAAGAGGGCAGTGGTTTGTCGTATGAATCGGGAGATTCTTATGGATTTATTGTTGGCAATTGTGATGAAGAGGTTCATCAAGTGTTGGACGCATTGAATCTCTCAGACAAATGTGACTATTATTGCGAAGTTTTGACACCACAAGTGTTCCCACATTTGCCTAAAATATGTAAAGTTAATGATTTGATTAAATATTATGTGGAAATACGATCGGTTCCTAAGAAGTCAACGCTAAGACATTTGGCAGACTTTTGCGACAATCCTTCGCATAAAAGGCGTCTTTTGGAGTTGAGTTCTCGCGAAGGAGGAGACGATTATAATCGTTACGTTCGCAACAAATTTGTCAACATTTTGGACATTTTGCAAGTGTTTGACTCGTGTCGACCACCGCTGGAGGTTGTGTTGGCCAACAGTCCGTGTTTCGCACCGCGTTATTACAGCGTCTGTAACGCACCCGACGCTCAAAATCGTAATGCATTCAAAATAGCATTTTCTGTCATGAATTTCGAGAACACATATCTTCGAGAAGACACTCAACTGTTTGGTGTGTTTACGGGAACTCTATTCAGACAATTAAGACCCGAAACGCCCTCAACTGAGAACAATGTCGAGCAATGTTTGGTGTCATGAATTTCGAGAACACATATCTTCGAGAAGACACTCAACTGTTTGGTGTGTTTACGGGAACTCTATTCAGACAATTAAGACCCGAAACGCCCTCAACTGAGAACAATGTCGAGCAATGTTTGGATAAATTGAGTCTCGAGTCTAATGTGAAGAGTTTTAAAGTGTTTAAACGTAAGAATCCGTACTTCAAATTGCCCTCAAATCTGACCACACCGTTAATAATGGTGGGCGCGGGCACTGGTGTCGCGCCGTACGTCGGTTTCCTACAACAGCGACAACTTATGGCTCGGCGGTCGTCAGTTCCGGCCGGAGAGTGTTGGCTGTTCTACGGGTGCCGACACTCGCGGGTAGACTATATATTTGCCGACGAATTACAACAATTTCGCACCGATAGAGTGCTCACACAACTTAACGTTTGCTTTTCCCGCGAATGTCCGGTCGACGACCCGACGGCTCCCAAATACGTCCAGCATTTGATCGCAAAGCACTCTTCGCCTGTCTTTAAGCTCATTGACAGTAGAAAAGCCGTGGTTTATGTTTGCGGCGATTTGAAGGGCATGTCTACAGATGTGTTCAATGCGATGGTCGCTGTCGTTGAGACGAGTGGCAAACGAAGCCGTGAAGACGCTGTCAAATATATCCGTGAATTGCAGTCAGAGAAACGATACCTTCAAGATATATGGACTTAATTGTAGAGCAAAACGTGCATTCAATCAACGCTTTTTAATTCAATCTCATAATCAAGAATTTAATAGAAATCTCTATTTTATAAATTGAAGTATAATTTTTTATTTACCATATTTTTAAATTAAAAGACAAATATTTAGCATAAAAATCAAAACATATAAATCATATGATATGATTAAATCGATGAAAAATAATATGTAAATTGTAATACAATTGACGTAATGATTGGGTTTATGGCTCAGAAAATCATAGGAGTCCTTGTCTTTTAAGATCTTCATATGTCTTCTTATTGACCACATTTCCCTGTGTGTCCTCATATTCCTCTTCATTGGACGCCTGGAACTTCTCCTTATGTTTTTCTTCTTTGAGTTTCTGCCAGAGAGCCAACGCGTCCTCTATTTGTGTGACATTAGCGAAGTGAGCGGTGTTTGGGATCCCGAGACACCGCATGCCGTGCGCGTGACGCCACTCAGCGAAGTGCCGCTGAAACGCTTTCGGGCCCTTATAAGTGGCGTTTCCGCATATCTCACACGTATATGTGATGTTCAGACCGTGCAGTTTGTACAGCCAATAGGGTATGGGCTTCCCGTCCCAACCGAGGGGCAGGTTCTTCGGATTGTAGATGACATCCGTCTCAGTCTCCTCTTCCGACTCCGATTCGGACACCTCTTCATCGGATTCCTGTCGTTCGCCGGCAGTGCGCGCCTGCTTTCGCTGTACGTTCTCTTTGGTCGCCTGTCTTTGCTCTGACAATATCTCCGACAGCTTATAGATCTGCGCCTCGAGTATCGCCGTCTCCTTCTGTCTCTCCGTGTCCTTTGATTTGCCGGCTTTTCCTTTAGACGTCTTCGCGAATAATGACGGATCGATTTCTTCCACAGATTTGCCTTTTGTTTGCCACAAACGCTGCGCTCTTTCGTCTAAAGTACTGTTCATTTGGCATCAAATTAATTAAATCATATATTTGTATGTTTAAAGTATAGAAACGCAAAAAACAAACAAAACAATTGTATACAAACCCTCCACACTTGAGTCCCAGTGCGATGAGAGCCGACTTAAGCCGATCCAAACCGAGTGACGCCAACTCTTCAACCGATGTAAAAGCGGATAAATCCAAATGCGCTCCCGAATGGGTCAAAGCACTGCCCGCCTCTTTCTGTAATACACAGTATGTTATCAACACATGTTAACTACAATATATATGGCACTGCCATACCGGCCATCCCGGGAACGATCCCGACTCCCACTGCTTGTCAAAGTCGACCAATACTTTCTCCATTAACTAATAATAAAATCAATTTATATTATCTATTATATGATTGAATATACAAATGGATGTGTCTTACGGTTTGAAGCGATAGCAATGGTTTAACTCGTGAGCAGTAATCCTGCAAATAGTCCAGAAGTGTCTCCAAATAGCGGACGTAATCGGCGTTCAGTTTCCTATCCTTTGGCATATCGAAGAGTTGGTCGAAAAGTGATAAATACGACAAATAGTCGATTTTGTCGACGCCTTTCAGATTGAGATACTTCTCAAAACAGTGGTTCAGATCCAAGAACTTGCCGTAACCCTCTTCGTCGGTGAAGTCAACCAAATTAATCTCATTTGGATTGTCTCGCAATTTGAACAACTCGTCGAACTCGACGGCCATCGGAATACTGATCTCATTTGGATGTCTTCTGTAGAACTCTTTAATGTTCTTCAGCCGCGCGTAAAACTCGGAGAACTCATTGGGTCCGGACATGGCGTCCACCTCTGCCTTTCGGGCGCCATCTTTGTCTTCGTAGAGCTCCAGAAGGTTTTCGGTGCACTCGACGTATCGCTGCATTCAATGGACACACATTTGGTCATTACATGAGATAATCATCGAAATAAATGGCGGATCACATCAATCATCGATACTTACGTCAAGAAGTATTTTCAATCTGTGGTCGGAATTGATTTGATCCCTATTCTGATGGTTCACAACATAAACAATTCAATCAATCAATAGTCAACGCGTGTAATCATTGAGACAATTGTCTCATCGGTGGTAAGACTTACGGAACTCTTTTTGGTCATATTCTCCCTAACCATCGACTCCTCCAGACGTTCCCTTTCCTCGTGATATCTTCTCTGTTGTTCCAGAAGTGTCTCCATTATTATTGTCTTCACTAATCACTTCAATTGATCCGCAAAATTGAAACTCAATTACCGTTTTGTTGACAATTCATATAAAAACACATTGATTTCAATCACTCACTCATTCATGCATTACGTTATGCAGTGTTTGGGCGCACAGTATGTGTCCTTCACTTTTCATATACATTAATGTATTAATGCTTAGCAAAGGGGACAACAAATACTGTAAAGCTGTAACGTTATTGTGAACGACCCGTTAAAAGGTGTTCATAAATGCGGTACAACTTTTGTTTGGAAACTTATTGAAAAAAAGTGATCAATTGTTAACACGTTATCATTTTAAGCTAACTTAGCTTTAAAGCTCACTTTAAAAGAGTTTAATTGTGTTTTACTGAACTGTTTAACTGAACAATAGTTATGGTAATAGTGTTATCGCTTTGAGATGTGTATTGTTTGAAAGCATTTGAATACTTATTTAACGGCATTTTACAGAATATTCTTTACCGACGAGTGATTCCTATAGCGAAGAACTGAGTGATGAATAATGATATTGTGATAACCATTGTCTTCATATGGATTTTATTACTCGTATGGTTTGTGTGGAATCTGATTGTCAATTGTTTGTGTACAAGAGATCCGACAGAAGTCCGTC